TTTTTTTGAGACAAAGAAGGTTTGTTTTTGTTGCCCAGGCTGGAGTGCATTGGGGAGATCTCAGCTCACCACAACCTCCACCTCCTGGGTTCAAGCGATTGTCCTGCCTCAGGCTCCTGAGTAGCTGGGATTACAGGCATGCACCATCACGCCTAGCTAATTTTTTGTATTTTTAATACAGATGAGGTTTCTTCATGTTGGTCAGGCTGGTCTTGAACTCCCCACCGCAGGTAATCTGCCCGCCTTGGCCTCCCAAAGTGCTGGGATTTACAGGCATGAGCCACTGCGCCTGGCCACTTCCATATAAATTTTAGACTCAGTTTGTCAAGTTCCATTTTTTAAAAAATTAAGATTTTGATTGAGATTGAATTGAATCTATAGATTGTTGACGTTATTACAATATTGAATCATCCAATCTATAAATGTGGTCTATATTCAGGTCTTTCATTTCTTTCAACAGTTTTTTTTTTTTAGATGGCAGATTTACTGAGATATGGTTCATACACTGTGAAGTTTACCATCTTAAAGTGTACAATGCAGTGGTTTTTAGTATATTCAGAGTTGTGCATCCAATGCCACCATCTTATTTGAGAACATTTTCATTACCCTCCAAAGAAGCCCTGTGCCCTTTATAGTTACTTTACATTTTCTTCCCTCCTCCCAGCTCCTGGAAATCCCGCATCTACCTTCTTTCTCTATAGATTTTCCTATTATAGGTTTTCCATATGAGTAGAATCATGCAGTATGTGGCCTTTTGTCTTCCCTCTGGTAATGGCAGCATGTATCAGAACTTTCTTGCTACTTATGGTTGAATAATGTTCCATCATATAGGCACACATTTATTTATCAGTTGATGGACATTTGGGTTTTCTTAACAATGTTTTGTAGTTTTCAAAAATAGCATCAATGCAGAGTTTGAAGGTATAATTCTGAAATGGTGTCTTTTTCGTGGTTCTGTTTCTGATCAAATGTTCCTAAGGTTTATTATTAAGTATGCTGAAATGTAAGCTCTCTGAGAGCAGAGAATTTTGTTCACTCTACTGAATGATTCATCCTAAGTACCCATACCAATACCTGTATTATTGGAGGTGATCAGTAATATTTTAGTGTAAATGAATGAATGGTCACAATAGTGATTTCTTTTGGGAAGTGTATTGTTTACAAATGGATGAGTACACAGTTTCTGTAAGTTTTTTTAGAATTTTATCAAATGATCATCTCTGTTTGCAGATGGAGTGGTTTAATAATTATAAGAAATCTCTTGCTACTTATATGAGGTCACTGGGAGGAGACGAAGGTTTGGACATTACACAGGATATGAAACCACCAAAAAGCCTATATATTGAAGTACGTATATCTTTTTAAAATGCATTTTTCTTTAATGTGTAGATTGTACTACCTTTTAAGAAGAGGGGAGTATATGAATATGTGTTAGCTTCTATTAAAATAGAAAAGAATTATAGACCAAATCAAACAAGCTACCTGTAGGGGGATGACAGAATACAATAGAATAGCTGTAATTTTCTGTATATACCTGTTTTAATACTTTTGACTCTGGAACCACATAAATGTTTTAGCTGTTACTAAAAGTTAAATCAAAATGGAAAATCAATCCCGAAATTTTGAAAGTAAAATGAACAAATGTCTATTTTTTAAATACAAAAAATACATATAAAATTTGCCATCTTAGCTATTTTTAAGTGTACATTTCAGTGGTATTAAATATTGTTTAATATTACATATTGTTTTGCAACTTTCATATTGTTTTGTAACCATCACCACCATCCATGTCCAGATTTTTTTCATCTTATAAAAGTGAAACTCCGTACCCGTTAAACAATAACTTCTCAATACCCCCACCTCCCATCCCCCAGCAACCACCATTCAACCCCCCTCTTATGACTTTGACTACTGTAACAGCCTCATGTGGGTAGAATCATATAGTATTTTTCTTTTTGTTTTGTTTTCATTAAAAAATAATTTCTGCCAGGCGCAGTGGCTCAAGCCTGTAATCCCAGCACTTTGGGAGGCCGAGGCGGATGGATCACGAGGTCAAGAGATCGAGACCATCCTGGTCAACATGGTGAAAC